ATATTCACATTTCATTGAAGTTTACATAGGCTTTCTTCTATTTGCTACCTTTCACCTCTAACTTAACCAGCAGTACTTTAAATTCTATGCTCCTGTGGCATATCTTGTAAATAGTACTGAATTCTGCAATATATTTCTATTACACAATCATATACACAAGTACTACTGATCCCATATCTAGCACTATTCCATTTCAGTCTAGAGTAAGAGCTGTAAGAGCTTCCTGGAATAAATAATTGCTGACAATAGACATGATGGTTCTTCTGTGGTGGAAAGGTTTGAGTCTAAGTACGTCGGCTGTCCCTGGGGTAGTACTCTGCCAGGATGTTGGTGGGAATGCGTTTCAACATTTCCTTAGGGAAGATCCGTAGCAGTGACCAGCCGATGTCTAGGGACTCGAAGATGGTTCGGTTCTCGTAGGGACCTGGGAACAGATTGGAACAGTGATTAGTTTTCTACTTGCAGGCTAAACCTTCAAAATCCCTTTGGAGAGCTTGTCAGCACTAGGTTGGCTGATCCAAAGTAAGATAGATACATGTACTTACCATTTCACACTGCTATACACCAGTAGCATATATCATTATACATGTAGATCAAGATTCATTACTTTCTTAGACTTGTGGACCGCAAGTCTAAGAAAGTAAAAAATCCTGATGGTATGGCCTTAGCTTCTAGTATTTCTGCTGCACACTGGAGCGCCCAACAAGCTTGCTGGTGGCAAAAGACAGTAAAAGGTTTCTTTGTGAGTAAAGCATATGGATATGTGGATGCTGGCAAGCATGTGAAGCATGAGTAAGTGTAGGTCACAGATTTTCCTTGCAACAACAGCAATGGTCCTGTGAAGACAGATAATGAAGTAATTGTATTAAGGCAGACAGATTAGTGATTACATCTGGTGACACAAATTTGCAGCTGTAAATTTCATACCTATTTTATTAGTTTTTCTCTTTCTAATTGTTTTTATTTCTATTCTAAGGCTTACAAGGGGAATTTCACCTCATCTGTGAAGGATAAGATGTATTTCAGCTTTTGCTTCTTTCTTTACAACAGTAATGCAGCATATGATATGCTATACTGTCCACCATTTTAGAATGTTCAAAAATGTCAAATGTGTCTCTTCAATAGATATATGACAACCCCCTTGTAAGCCATCGTGTTTCACCTAGTCTCTTGTGGGTCTGGCATCTCGAGGGTAGAACTCATTGAGGGTTTTCTCAGGAATTCGCTTCAGCATTTGCTTGGGGAAAATGCGAAGGAGGCTCCATCCAATGTCCAAGGACTCATAAATGGACCTGTTGTCATACGGTCCTGAGAGGAAGTGTAAGTCAAACATTATGGATGTACCCTTGTTCTTAATTGATATAAAATAACAAAAGGTAAAACAAAATGGTCAACATAATGAGGGGCCAAATAAAGTCGGGTACATACAGTGTTTCTTAGATTATTCTAGTTATAACTTTGCAGAAAAAACAAATTGAACTGTCATCACTTTAAGATTTCCAATTGTACAAAGCATCTGACATTTCAGAATCAGGAGGTGACGTACCTTGGTTGATGAAGTTCTTCTCAAACTTGCTGAGGAACTCCAGGTAGAGCAGATCGTCGGGGGTGAGGGCCTCCTCTCCTACCACAGCCTTCATGGCCTGCACATCCTTACCAATGGCGTAGCAGGCATACTGGAGATACAAGGCACAAGGATCAACGACATGAAATCAACAACAGCATTTAAGCACTTTGGACTCAACTACAGGCATATACCAACAGAATACATTTCCTATTGGCATACTGAAAACACAAGGCATGATGATCAACAACAAGAAAACATACTGGAAGACGACTTTCCAAGGACTACATATAGAACTAGAACTATATATGCAACACAATACACTTCCCAATGGTCACAGGAACTGAACCGCAGAAAACACCAACACAGAACATTTCAATCCTAACCACTGTCAAACTGAAGGACTGAAATTCTTTCCTCAGTGCAAAACTCTGACAGCATTCTGTCTGGGCGGTCTAGCTGCTAATGCTGAGCAACAGCTAACATAGACCCCCCCAAAAAAAGCCTGTTCTGCCATGTCCTAACATACCAGCTGGTTGGAGACGTCTGCGTGGTCCTTCCTCGTCATCCCCTCCCCGATGGCTGACTTCATCAGACGGGACAGCGAGGGCAGCACGTTGATGGGCGGGTAGATCTACAGTCACGGCAGGGGTACAACATCTGTCAGCAGAATGTTTAACTTCGCCCTACTAGTGTTAAAACTACTGTTTTTGTGGAGAGCTATGCCTTGAGCATGTTAAGACCCGACAACACTTACTGAAATGAGTAAGGGGTCCATCTTGGTGAGTGGATAAAATCTTACAGTACTGTCTTATGCACTTTGTACCTACTTCTGTCGGCTGCTAGTGTGTTATACTAGTACTAGTGTGTTAAAGCAAAACAAACAAAGAAAGCTTTTCTTCCAAACCATCTGTTGTAAGTAACCTATGAGAACAATTTACAACATTTTTTTTTACAAGTATTGCACCTAATCTAAGTGTTTTGATATTGATTCTATGTAACTGTTACATTTATGACAGAGGTTGGGTCAGAGTACTGTCTTAACAGTACTCTATACAGTAATAGTCTGTATACCTGTCTGTTGTGGAGCTGTCTCTCCACATAAATCTGTCCCTCGGTGATGTACCCCGTCAGGTCGGGGATGGGATGGGTGATGTCGTCGTTAGGCATGGTGAGGATGGGGATCTGGGTGATGGAGCCGTTCCTGCCGTCCACACGCCCGGCGCGCTCGTAGATGGTGGCCAAGTCCGTGTACATGTAGCCTGGGAAACCCCGACGACCCGGCACCTCCTCTCTCGCAGCCGACACCTGAGATGTGAGCAATGATGATAAGATTATCCAGCTTGTTGATATGAAATAATCACACTAACAGAGTTCCCTACAATTTGAACAAAGCCAAACATTTTCTAAGCAAGTCTGATATCATGCAGATGCTACAGTTTAAGTAAAATCAACTTTGCTTCAATACAAAATAAAAATTAGATTGAGTTAACTGCAAAAAATGACAAGTTGCTACTGCTAGTACATGTATTTGATTTCCATACTTATTTTCCTTTGACTTTTCCAACAACATTCCAACCCACCTCTCTCAGAGCCTCGGCGTATGAGCTCATGTCGGTGAGGATAACCAACACGTGCTTCTCGCACTGGTACGCCAGGAACTCTGCGGTTGTCAGGGCCAGGCGAGGTGTGATGATACGCTCAATACTGCAAGGGTAAATGCAAGAGTGTTGACCAAGACATGTTAACTACATCTGTACTAAGATTCCAGAATTTCGTAATGTTTTATTGTGACTTGCAGTTTCATAAAATGATATCCAAGAACAGTTTTAGCATTTAACTCATGGATAAGCTTCAGTTTTAACTTACATGGATAAGCTATGAAAGATAACTCAATATTCAATATATTGTTAACTCTATACTCACGTTGGATCATTGGCCAGGTTGAGGAAGAGACAAACGTTCTCCATGGATCCATTCTCCTCAAAGTCCATCTTAAAGAAGCGAGCTGTTTCCATGTTCACCTGGGGCAGACAGAATGGATACCTTAAGAAATAGTCTTTTACTGTAAGTTAGTGTAACTGTACACATCTAATGATCTATATACGTACATCAAGGATTTTCTGTCAGTGAATTTTGGGCTCTCCTGTACAAGTAGTTACACTGTACTGTACCCACTAGAATAAATAACAATTAGGTTAACTCTTGTGGGACTAGCCTGACTAAATCTGCGCTCCTAGCGGCCGGCCCGGAAAAAANACCAGCCAGCTGGTGTTTTTCCGGGCCGGCCGCTAGGAGCGCAGATTTAGTCAGGCTATTGTGGGACAAAATCGATCTGCTTTCACACTGATTGACCAGACTTACTCCCATGGCAGCGAAGACGATGGCAAAGTTGTCATCATGATCATCAACGATGGACTTTCCTTGCTTTTTCACCAGACCTCCCTGTCGGCAGATTTGAGCGGCAATCTGGAGAGATGATAAAACTGTCAATCACAACATACTAATGATTCTACACTTCCATATCATTAGATTTTTCTTACTCTGTTAAATGCAATAGCAGTCCATTATACATTTGACTTTGGAGGGGTAATAAGAAGATTTTTGCTTACCTCATTATGAGGTAACCCAGCAGCAGAGAAGATTGGAATCTTCTGACCTCTGGCAATGCTGAAAGGTCAAAGCACAAACAACATGACCTCTGAACCATGACCCGTTTATCCCTTAGGTCGCAGGTCGCATGAGAACTTGAGAAGCATACAAAAACACACTTTATTGTGTATTGTTGTATAGTTGAAAGAAACTGTAAAAAAAATTAAGTGTATGTGATTATATCTCGTGAACTCTGGATTGGTAACTCAGGCTAAAAATACAGGAATGATCCAACTGCCCCGCCCACAAAAACTGCCATACCCCCTTTCCTTCCTCACCTGTTCATACAGTCTATAGCAGAAATGCCTGTCTGGATCATCTCCTCAGGGTAGATACGGGACTGTGGGTTGATGGGCTGGCCCTGGATGTCCAGGTAATCCTCAGCCAGGATGTTAGGTCCCTTGTCTATGGGCTTCCCTGAACCGTTAAATACACGACCTACGAAGAGGTGAGGACCACTTGGATGTTAGGATCTTGAGACGTAAGAATGTCTCAGTCAAGTTGTCATTATCACAATATTAGTATGTACATGTATGAATGATGTGTACCTATGCTATGAAAAGAATTCTGGCACATTTCACATTACTACATCCAACATCTACATCTACATATCATGACACTTGTAAAATAATGCATGTATTTTATAATCTCAAAGCAGATCTTTCGGTAACAGAATCATTACCATCTGGCAAGGCAGTTGGTGGTTGCTTGTTGGTTACGACTTTGCCACTGAAAGATATGCTTGGAGATTATGTTTTTATGCCTCTGTATGTAGATGTCTTAAGCACTCACACACCAGTGTATTAACACATATAATATTAAATGCCATACGGCACCACCAGAGCACTTGAACTTGAAGTTTAGAGAAGAGCTGACAGTTGGCAACACTTACCCAACATGTCCTCTGACACAGGTGTACGCAGGATGTCACCTGTGAACTCACAGGTGGTGTGTTTGGCATCAATGCCTGATGTTCCCTCAAATACCTGTCCAACAGAAACACAAAGTAGACTGTTAAAGTTCTATACATGCATTAAATAATACAATTGAATGCTTTTCCAGTTTTTACAAAAGCATGGACATAAAGATGTCTTGAAGAAAAGAGAAGTGTCTTCCTCGAGCTTGTGAGAAAATATTTTCAGAAGTAACCATTCATGTGAGAAAATATTTTTCTTCTAAGATTAGTCTTACAGAACAGAGATAATGTCTTAGCACTGTTTCTTTACCTGAACTACAGCCTTTGACCCGCTGACCTCCAGCACCTGTCCACTACGAATGGATCCATCGTTTAGGGTCAGGTGGACAATTTCTGCAAACTTGGGGAACTGAAACAAAGATAATGCATTATTGACCACACCAACATTCCATAGAGTCTATCAAATACTGTAGTATTAGAATGGAAACACAATCTTATACTAAAAAAATTACTTTAGCCTCACTGGATGCTTCAGGAAATTCTTCCATACTGTTATAATTTCTTATGTTGTTCTCAACTGAAAAATGTTTCCAACTGTCATTACAAACCTTAACATCATCCAGAATAACTAGGGGACCATTCACTCCAGTCACTGTCTTGTATGCTGGAAAGAGATGGATAGAAAACAAATAAGCACATTCCATGCATATGTCAAGATAATCACTTAAGGTTGGCTACATTTGTCTATTTTGAGGTAGGTTGTTCAGATACTGTTGAGTATAATGACTTGCCAAAGGCAGAATGGTACACAGGCTACATATGTATAAAATAATGAAGGTCACTATTTTTTTCTTGAAAGGGTGTGGCACACCTGGAAATGATTTTTCCCAACCCGGTTATATACCATGAATGGTTACTTCTGAATTACTTACATCTGTGTTCACCATAGCAAAAAGTATGATAATGAAGGTCAAACATCATATGAAAATTAATTAATTATTCAATCTGTGTTCTCCCTTGGGAGACAAGAAACTGCAAAATTTTATGTATTAAACAGAAAATTGATGTTACGTTATGAAGGTGCTATTATGAAGGAACCATCAAGGTATACAGCTGTACAAGTCATAGCAAGATCAGAAAGGATTGCAACGGAAAATTGCTACCCCAAGGAATATTATATCACGTGTGTTTAACCTACATAATAACCTAAACTAACAAAACACGATTTTCGGAATGGGAGCCCAGCAATTCAACATGCTAAATGGTCTGTACTTAAACTACAGGTTTACATTTATCATAATGAAAGGCGGTCTGTATTTTGTGTGATGAATGCTCGTCACGTCAGGTTGCACAGGTGAACTGAAGGGCTCGCCCCCCTCCCACCCAGCATATAATTTTAGCGATGTCACAGGTCCCCTCTGTCGCCAAATTGCGTCGTTTTCTCGCTAAAAGAGCTACTTACTGAGCCTGGGCTGTGAGTGGTAGTTCCTGGTGATGGCCAGCGTGTGTTCCCGGGCCATACGGATGTCGTTGGTGGGAGGTGTGCTCCCCAAGTCCATCAGATCTCCCATAGCCGACATCTTGGTATCATGTGATGAACCGGTGTGTGACGCTGACGTCAGAACAAGGAATTGCAACTTTTTAAATTTCCGCTAGAGGCCGCGCGTGCACTGGCTGTCAGCGATCAGCGCAACCAAGTTCAAGCAAAAATCTTCCAGATATACACAAATACGGTCATGTGTGTGCTTGCTCTTGCTTGAGCATGTTTTTTTTTTGTGTGAGCAATACAGTTGTGTCAAAAATCTCATTTTTCCGATAGATATTGATTAGTCCAATTAGGTAAACCACAGTCACAGACCATCAAATAAAGCTGAGCATTCCCACTTTGTATAACGTTAGGCCAAACTCACCGTTGACATTTTTTCTTAATTTTTATGAAAACGTGGTGCAGTTTTTATTTCGGGTGTTGTCACTGCACCGTTGTTATTCTGCCCATCCTCCCATAGGTAGCGCTCGTGCACATTTAAAGACCACCTCCGTCTCGCGAGAGTTGCACCAGCTGATCGGCAACATGGCTGACATTTCGGAAGGCCAGATACGTGAGAGCATCGCAGGTATGCAGGCGTTCCTTTCCCGACGAACCGACTTAGCGAAATTTTCTTGATCAGTTCGACAGTAATAAACTCGGGGCACGATTTGGGGTCGTTTTGAGACGAGGGGTGGCGTGGAAGGGGTGTGGGAAGTGGGGAAAGTGAGGAGAAAACCCGCACGTGTGGAGAGGTGATAGTTTTGGGAGGGGTTCGTTCTGACAGGACAGACATGTGGCAGCAGGCCCTGGTTGGGGGATCCGACTATGAATTACAGTATCGGCATTTAACGCCATGTAAACATGTTGACGTGCACGGCGGCAAACCTTTGTGTGACTGTAACTATTCAATATGCCCCAGCAAATGAAAGCACAACGCGGAAATTTGGAAACATTTCCCAAGCACAGTTTCCGTCTGTGTTTTGGTTTTATAGATCCCTGTCTGTTCTCAAATACCGAGGTAGGGAGGGTCCAGGGTCGTTTGTGTGGAACAAAAATGGAAAGGTGTGAAAATGTGACAAAAAAATTCCGGGGTGAGGATCATGAGAAATCATAAGATAGGTTGCATTAGTTATTATGGACTGTGTTGCACAATCTTACTCTGCCTGGGCCTCTTCTTGTCAATCAGGTGGGCCACGGGCCGCTGGGAGCAGGCTAGTTGACATGAAAATAATGTGCAAATCGTCCCATTTCCTGTGTCTGTCCTTATGACCTCCTGTCATTCTGCCTGTCAATATTCCCACCATACTAGTATTCATGTGCTGTCGACCTACTGTCAAGTTCATTAACATTCCTGTGCAGTGTGTGACCTTCTGACCCCTTGTCATTCTGCCTATCAATCAACTTACTCTGCCCTAACTGATGGAAACCCCAGCATGTCTGCACCCAAGAGTCAGTAAGAAGTCAATAAGTGTATAAGCTGCTTGTCTGTGATGTGATGTGACATGAATTTGTAAGTACTGTGTAACATTATATATCTTGATGACATTGAATCGGTTTATCACCAAACACCTTGAAAAAATGACTTACTATCCTTCAGAAATCTTGAAACATGGGGACCTGACCACCTTGACCTCCAAGTCAGTGAGGAAGATGCTTGAAAACAAGTTTGGAGTTGAACTGACAGAAAGGTGAGTCATGGAGCCAGAGACAGGAGCCCTGCTGCAGGAGCCTTTATAACACCAAGGACGTTAATATTTTAACACAGATTAACATTACATGTCCAGTCAATATGTACAAAGTAAGACTTGGTAAAATGATACAAAAGCCAGTAAATATGTGAGACTTGGTAAAATGATTAAAAAAAAAGAAATGTAAATTTTGAGTAGAAAAATGTTTTTTTTACCTTATTCCTTAACCTACTTACATGTAAGTGCTTGATATACTTTTTCCAAAAGTTGACTTACTATGAAGAGTTTTGAATATACAATTTTTTTTAATTTACTTCATGTTCACCACAAAACAAGGCTCATGGGAGCCACTCAAATGTTTTGGGTTACTGTACAGACGGTGAGGACAGATGTTAGGTGATCTTAGATTTCTCTTTATTTGCCCCCCCTCCCCCTACAGAAAGAAGGAGATAGACAACATGCTGATGGCCATGATCGAGGCTAAACAGGAGGAGAATGGACAACACAGCAGCTCAGACTCGTCAGATGACTCAGTAAGGCTTTTTATTCGATCAGATTGTCTCTAATGAACCTTGCATCCATCATTACAAACAGGTCATCCCCCACCTCCCTTCCAGTGCCAGTGGAAGTGCCAGTACCAACCCAATACTGTTTTTGCTCTTTAGATTGGCAATGTTTTTTTAACCCATGCACCATGGTAAACCAATGCACTACAGTTTAACCGGTGCAAGTCTAAGGTGGGCCCTGTTTGCCTTACACTGCTATAACAAGTGGCCTTCCAGGTATTAGAGCAGCAGGATACTGGTAGAACTATAAAATTACACAGGAATTAATGTAAGATACAGCTAAAGCATACATGGTGCTGGAACTGCTTTTATTGAAAAGCCAGATTGCAGAAGCCTACAGGCTCTTGTTTCCATACCAACGGTCAGTGCCGTAGGTAAAGTGCTTGGTCATGTCGGGAGAGTATTTACTGGCGGGCGGGGTGCGACCCATGGTCTCTGCCAGGGTGCGGGTGAAGTGTGGGGCGTTCCCACAGCACAGACCCACGTACTGCACACCCAGGTCCTTACACCGCTGGCCAAAGTCTGCCACCATGGTCCGCCCACACAGAAACTCATCCATGTCCACGATGAAGGCTTTAGAACCTAAACAGACAGAAACAGCACTGGTCAGTTGGTTCTGAATTAGCAAATGCATGTTTACAAACTATAATAGAAATTCTATGCCTGGGTTCATAGTGATATCAGCAAGCACACAACCTATTAAGACATGGACACTGATGTTCAACTTTTACTGAGTTGTGTGCATAAACCATACAGAATGAAAACCAATTCTAAGAAGATGCCAAGAAGGTACATGTAGTACTTCTCACCTTTGTGGTTAATGAGTGAGTGCATGGTTGGCTGTTGTTCATTAGTACGGTACACAACTGGGAGGGCTGCAAATGGCACCTGTCAAACAAAGAACAGCATCTTAATATGGAGTTGAGTGTACCATGGCTAAAGATGTCTTGCTTTACTTCTTCAGGAGTCTTAGAAGTTCTTTGACACAACTAGATAAGAAGTTACAAAAGTATAGCTAAATTTAAAGGTAGTCCCATACTAGTCATAGGAGCAGCAGGTTGTTGATCCTCTGTGTCTAGGGCATTGTCCTGGAAGATGTGTGAAGTGTCTTTCCCCAAAACACAACATTAACATCTAGACAAGAATGGCAGGGGCCGAACCGGCAACTTCTTTCCCTTTCCATATCACTGAAGACATCTGTGATTCTCACCTTCACCTTCTCAACAACCCCCTCCATGAGTGGCAGCATAGTTGCCGGCCCGCGCCCACAGTTCAGCCCCACCACTGCCGCTCCTGCCTCCTCCAGGGCCAGCATGGCCTCCTCCACGGTGTGGCCATCCCAGAGCCCCTCTCTCGGAACAGAGAAACTCACCACAGCTGCAAGTCCTTTTATTGCAACAGGCAATGATTCAATTATTGTTCCTTGGAATCAAGACAATCATCCCTCTATGGATGTAATTGGAGAGGTGTTGATGAAAGTTACGAAATTGGCAGTATAAGACATTTCTCATTTGTACAATTATGTTACTGTGTGAATTCCCATGTGCATGTTTTCAGTAGTGTTCAATGGCATCACATGCATGGGATATAGATAAAAAAGTTAAACGTTTATTCTCACCATTACCGTACTGCTTGATACAGTCAAGAGCCAGCAAAGCCTCGGCCAGGTTATGGAATGTCTCTGCGACCATGAAGTCTGCCCCCTCCGCTACAGCCCACTCAGTCTGCTCCTGGGAAACACATACACACAAACATGTCAGATGAGCAGTCAATACGTCATGGTATGAAAGAACGGTTATCTAATGAATGTTGTTAATTTTGCATAAATTGAGTCGGCGTTTGACCATCTTAATGGTTATGCTGTGTTGTCATGTCGTCTATCCCTTAGTCTAATTATTTAATCGTTTGGGGCATCACAGAAGATCTGACACCCAGTCTCCACCCTTCATGTTTTTCCAAGGCCATGGGTCATCCTCTACAACGAGGGATGAGCTAGTAAGTGTTGTCAGTTTTGCCATGAAGTGTTGATTCCAATGATGAAGAGATATTAAATCCCAGGGGATACCTTGAAGATTTGCCTGCACTTGTCCCAAGTTTGAGGATCATCAGGGTTGTAACAGTTAGTGTTACAGATGTTGCCTGCCATCAGAGTCCCGGTCTCATCTGCCACCTCCCGTGCCAGCTTCAGCGCTGTCCGGTTAAAGGTCTCCAGTTCATCCTCCCTTCCTACTGCCCTCAGGGTCTCCCTGTGGCCGTAGTACTGTACAACAGGGGAAAAGTTGTCCAGCGTATATATGTACTTACATGCTGCAAGAACTTTAGTATATGTACAATTAGATCATAGGTTTCAGCTTATTATGAACTGGTCTTGCATCATAACCTCATATGGTAGCATCTCACAAATTCACCCTGTCCTCAATACAAAACTGACACAGGTATTGCAGTGTTATATGTTCATGTTTGTGTACATGTAAAAGTGGAGTAAGTCAAACACTGAACATTTGCAACAATGGTTCAGCAATCAGTACATCCCTACATCAATATCAATCCTTGGTGACTATCTTTTTGTTTGTATAACTGAAAAGGGAAACCATAAAGTTGATGAAGTTTGGTATTTTCTGGCTAGCTGTTTGAGTACATTTGTACCTGTAGCAAGAAAGTGATTTTACATGTAGTAGTGTTTGTCTGAGGTTATCCCTACCGTGAATGCCAACACGACATCACTCCCAGCATGCACAAACTCCCGGTGCAGCCCCCTCACTAACTCCGGATGATCCACCACCACCTCAGGCGCAAACGGTCCGGCCTTCAGGTAACCACGTCGCTCAAACTCAAACAGATATCCCTCCGCACAAATAACAGTCTCTCCTGCCTTCAGGCGATCCAGCAAGCCTGCCACAGAAGGACAATGTTGTTTGGTTGCATGCTTTTATGATATTGCACTATGTCTTCTTTCTGTGAGGTGACCATTACTTATTCTTATGAAGTAGCTCTCTATGCTTTGAAAAGAATAGTCAACTCCATTTCTTTGGGAAGAATGGGATCCCTAATCTGTGTAACACATGGGTGTGCACATTGGTATGCACCAAGGTGTGGTCCAAGTAAAATATGACCTATGAAGCATGTAATAAGATGCACACTCAGGCAGAAATTTGTGCCTACTAGTAACAAATAGACACGTTTTGTAAATTCATACTCATCGTTTTTATTGTAAAGGCCAGAGTAAGAACAAAAGAAGATTATTGTAGTCTAGTAACTTACCTTTTGGCTTTGTTGCCATCCTGGTGACAGTGCTGTAGCCGAGATAATGTCCTTTCCTTCTACTGAGGATGGGCACAGATTTTGGGGTACTGACTTGTTATGATTTGCTGTATAGCTTTACAATTAATCAATCTGAAGACACACATGTAAGGTAATTGGTTAATTCATGGAGATATAACCTCCTTGGATAATTAAATTTAAAATTGATAAGTAGTTTGTGAAGATGCTTTTCACCCTTTAAAGTTAATGTCTCTAAAAGACATAATGTTACATGTATGTACAGACAGGTTAGTTGCCTAATTGTGTGTAGATAATCTGAATTTCCCTGGATAGCAAACAATATTTTAGCTGTTCGGAAAACCTGTCAGCAGTTCCATGTAAAAGATGTGTGGGAGCAAAGCAGGTAGTTACCTTTTTCAGCTGGCAGATAATCAAAGCAGTTGGAGTACAGTGGTAGTTATATTTGGGGTATAAAATTCAAGGAGGGACTGGTTAAAACCAGTTTCAAGGTGGGACCATTCTATAGAGGGAGGACAGATCATACGAAAATAGTTTTACAGGAAAGTTACTGCAGAAAATATTTACAGAACATTTTGGCCATCAAAAACATTACATTTGATGCATGAAATATGATATTTTCACTAATACTGTTGTATGAAAGCCATAATATTAATCTCTAACTAAAGTTTACATGGTGTATTTGTGGTCATTGAACCATGGTCTTTGAACCTTGAAGCTGAAAACACTGTAGACAAAGTTCAGTTGACAGAGCTATTCGTTGACAGACAGGCATTGTAGTCCCTTTGCTGCATATATTGTTCTGCCGTTCATTGACTCACATGTGACTTTGACCATGATTCTGCATGAACAGAATAGAATAAATAAAGAGACATGAAATAATGGCACTTTTTAAATGTTAGTACACATGTAAAGGGAAATCAGTAAGCTAAAAGAAAACTGTTTAATGACTAACATGTATTGCTGAAGGCTTTGATTAACAAACTATTTTTTCTGTGTCTCACACAGTTTGCCCCAGAACCCCCAAAGAAAAAAGCAAAGACGTCAGCAAAGCCACCACCTAAGGTAGATACATGTGGTTTGCCTCCATCTGTATTTCCTGTCCTTGGGAGATTTGCTGTTGGAGAACTTGTCAGCTAAGTTGCTATTATTACAATAATTGAATAACCTACAATTTTCCACTAAATGTCATTGACTTCATATACGGATAGAGTTTGTAAGATACAGATCATCATAGTGCCTCATACCTTGAGTGACTTCAGAATACAACTCTCTTGCAGAAAAAAATGCCCAGCAAAAAGCCAGCACCGAAAACAAAAGGGAGCAATTCCTCCAGAAAAACAGCAGACAATTCATCGGACGAAGATTCAGATGCAGCCAATGATGAGGAGCTGGCGAGGAAACTCCACGCTGAGGAGAACAGAACGTCCATGCGCGCCGTGAAAAAGGCACCGGTAGGTACCGCTTCTCAACACTCATGTTACTGTCAACAATAGTAGACCACCATGTCAACTAGATGACAATGTTGTGAAGGATTGTTATACAGTTCGTTCCAACATAATAAGTAAACTCGCATGTCATCACACTTCCAACTTCAGGAGAGTCAGTGAGGGCATCATACATCTGACAAAGGTTGACGAGATCAACCGAAAATTTATGGTGAGTTTACTTTTTGTGTTGGAACAAAGTTTGAACTCTATAACCATGGATTCTACCAACACAGATGAGCTTTTAAATCAGATGACACCCAGGCTAAAATGTAAAGACCCTATCACACTGTCAGCAAGTACAATGTAGGTGAAATTGGCATATCACATGCACCTACAGCCTTTGCATTTTTTAGTCAAGTTCCAAATACTGATTCAGATGAAAATGTTCTGATAGAGCTTAATGCTCTCAGCTTTTTTTAGATATATAATATGCTGTGATGAGCAATACCCACTTAATTGTACATAGAGAAACAGTTTAGTGGGCAATCAATTGGCTCACAGCTGCCAAGTGTTCTCATTTAACATAAAGGACTCTGACTTTGTTTGATTAATATTGAAAGATGCTTGATATTTATTCCTACAGAAGAGGAAGAGGAAGAAGAAAGATTCAGATGATGACAGTGATGATGATTTTGTAGAGAAACCAAAGAGAAGTTAGTCCCTTTCCTCAGTGTAATGATATTATATAATTTTTATATGATGATCATGTCTTATCAGTTGCATGGGTGTTAGGTATCTGAGCATGTTGAGTTAATTTGTCTGAAAGATGTTTTCCCATTTTACAGAAATATGTTAGAGGGGTCTATACATGTAGTTATTAGTATGTATTTACCTGGCATTCAGCAATTTTTGTGTTCATCCCTTATCTCACAGCTCACTTTTCCTACTCCCAAAAGACTGCCTTCTGTATTAGCTTGAACTGTGTAGAAAGACTATCCTGCAGATGTCACATCCCCCAAAGATATTTTGACACTTATGATCTCATAAGTTCTTCCCGAATGATTCCTATGCAGATTGTGGCCTAATTTTTAAGTCGCTTCTTTTCTCCCAATATTGCAGAAAACTCCATGTACTCCAGAGAGATGGTTCTGTCTCCGGACCTGGCTGCTGTGGTTGGAGGAGAAAAGGTAGGTCATGACCTATGAACTTCTTGGTGACCTCTAACCCTGTCTATTCATGAGTGAACACTTCATAATCTTTATTTTTAGTAACTATCAAGTGCATGTGTTGTGTACCAATGTTCCCTTGTTTGAAAGTTGCACTATAGAAACTTACATCAGAATCAAGAGACTCTTTTTACACAACTCACTGTAGACACTCCTCACTTTTTACACAACCATTTATTCAGCTGACATTAAGGAGTCTCTTTATTCAGTGACTTACCAACCTGATGAAACTATTCATGGATCACTCAGATTGCTGCAATACATGAACATCACCAGATGAAGAGATCATATATTCATTAACTGTGTGAGTTAAAGATGCTGTAGGCTTACCTCAGTAGGCTACACTCAACCCAGTTTGTGCACCAATCTGTGTTTTCTCCCCTCGCCCCACAGATGCCCAGGAGTGAGGTAGTGAAGAGGATGTGGGCTGTGATTAAGGAGAGGAAACTGCAGGATCCCAGCGACAAACAGTACATCATCTGTGATGAGCAACTCATGAAAGTCTTTGGTAAGTTGCCCGACTTCACAAAGCATTTCCCAAATATGCATGTAAGTCTGCAGCAGCTGGATGTCTGCATGTATTGGCTCATCTAATTTGCCACAAAGCTGCTGAAATTCTCTTCAAGTTTGCTAAATTTGATCATCCTGTCATTTAATACCATAAAAGCTGATCTGTATTCGTAGGTAACATAGTAAATAGCTTAACTTGGTCATTTTGAAGGCTTTACAAATGCTTGATGTCCTGGTAATGGACATGAAACTACAGTAGCCTGTGGGGGAGTTGGGCACACAAGCTGTGTGGTAAGCCTATAGTGGATTGGGATATCTGTCAAGTTGCCATATGGTGTCAGTAGAATGAATCAAGATTGCCCTTATTACTGTCTGACTCAGTGTCCCTACAAATCAGTGTTCTTCTCATTTTCAGGTGAACGTCGACTGAAGCCATTTGGAATGATGAAGTACCTTAAGAATCACATCATGGACCCGAAAGCTTCGTAAGGGAGACTTTGTACCCCTTTGTTTTATCGGAGAGGTCTGGCCTGCCATGCTATGGGTTTATCTATTGAGATTTTTATAACATTAAGTTGCACTGCCTTTCTATATGTGGGAAGCAGTATATGTGCCTGATGTACAGATTGTGCCGGAGAGTAAACTTGAACTTGATGGGAATAACAGGCAATATTGCAGTATTTTTGTACAGAGAGATGATCAAAAGGTTTTCAGTATGAGCAATGCCTGATAGATGGTTGCAGTATGATGATATTGGACTGTGCAATGTGAAGAAGTACACTGTGGGAATGTACACGCCTTGTTAAAAAGTCATTTTCTAGTCTGACCTTCTCCAATGACTTGTGTTAGACTGTGGGAGATACATGTAAATTGAGCAGCCACAAGGGTTATATTTGTTTAACCCTCTCTTGCTAAGGTAGACTTTTTGGCTCCTATTTTGTTTTTGATACAAAGCTAGGTAGTAGGTATAAGGTTAATCCACACCTGGTGACTGCTAGCTTATGTTGGTCTGTAGTGGCTAAAATGACAGCTGGATTATGCATGTAAGTAAGGTATACATTGTCAGGGCTGCTATTGATATATGCGTGTATAAGACTGAGAAACACTTGTTTGGACAGTGTCCTGCAAGTATCCGATTGGTGGCTGCTAAGACAACTTTTGTTAAACTTTATGTTTTGGTATTATGGACCAGAATGGTCAGCATTGGTCAGTTTTGGATGGCTGATTTGGCTACAGTGGTAGTTGTGGTAAGACTTGTGGAATATTGTGGAATATTACTGACCATGCACAGTGAGGCATTTGTAAGATTCATTTCATATCATAAAAGAGAAAGCTGTTTATCTTCAAATGTCTTTGCAAAAAAGGTCACATAGAGGTGCTTGACAATGAGATGAAAAAAAATTGCAATAGGTCTTCCCATAGATTCAACTGAATTCATGTTAGCTACTTCAGCTGTATGATTTGTTGCAGCATTTGCAATCATTATGATGGACGGAAGAAGATAGTCTAGTCAATGATATCATAGAGGTTGGCACATAATGTTACCTAAATGACACACAGAAACCGAGTCTCAGTTACAAAGTTTGAGTTTATTCAAAAAGGTGCAAGTTACATTGTAAGTTATGTTGCCGCTGGCATATATATCTATATATATTGATGCAGTTACTTCTAGTTTACATTTGTTCTGTTAAAATGTTTCTCATTATAAATATAGCAAAGTACTATCAATGAGTAGTTCTTGATTTGAGTAAAGCAGAATATCTAGTCAATCTCAATCATGCTTAAATCAAGGTATACTATTATTTCTATTATAGTACAAAATTAAAGTAAAATGAAGATTACTAATCAAAAATCATACATATATCTTTGTGTGCAATTGTAAGAAGTGTTTGTTGCACAGTAAATTTATTCCATATATTTATGCTTCTAAAATCATATTATATGTAATAGACATAGTCAGAAGTTCTCAGAACAAAAACAATGGCATTTACTGACATGGTCTATCTTTCTTTACTTATTTCTTACCAAAATCTTGTTATCTATATCTGCACTACAATATTTTGTAACTTCAGAAAAAGAATTGTTATTCATTGTAAGCAAATCATGACATGATATGGACAGCTGATGCAGCTGAATATTTGTGAAAGATGTACTAGGTAGAAAGCACTTAATATAGTATATATATATATAGTATACATTTCTTTTGAAAGTTATTGTTCAAGTACATGAACCAACTTTTCAAGTACATGTACATTGTACCAAGTTTTCCAAAGCTCACACATAGCTATGTGTTACACACACTGCCAAGTAAGCCTTCATCCTTGAGTACTAGTTGCAGGCAGTTAGTGACAGACACTTGCAAATAAAAGTGAGGCTACAGTGTTTGTGCTGTGTCTGTGTGACTCTAATACAATACTCGTTGATTATACAGGACACCGTTATATAGAATACGCAAATAGAATGAAGGCATAACTACATGTAAATAGACAGCACAGTTTACGTCTGTACGTCGGTCTTGAGTTCATTGTGTCGACTAAAATGTGGTTCCTTTTAGTAATGCTAGCATGTATTGGCACAAAGAAGAAAGTCCAAATACTATTAAATGACGCTCCTTACAGACAAACTGCAATCCCCACATGTGGCCTGGGACCTGATCATGATATTAATGAACTGTGGAGGACCGACGTGGTTACATCCATGCCAAAATGTGCTAGGATACATCCAAACAATTCTCAGAACTTGGGCTCTTGGCTGACCTAATACATTCAGGAACTAAAGGAGGCAATGAAAGCAGTTCACCCAGCCGCTTTCTGTTAAACCAAGACGCGCTGCTACAATATTCTTCCTCCATCACTCTGATGAGCAGCTCATGGATGAGATACGCGCAACATCATTGTTCATCTCTTCATCAAATTTTGTGTCGTTTTAAAATATCAAGCTCGTGTTCGGTTTGCACAAAACTCTCGCTTTCCAATTCCATTTTACTATAGTTGGTATTACCATATTCTACACGGATGTGTAAGTTGGGCTAGTCTTATGCCTATTTTGTGAAGTTAAAATTCTGTGTGTAAATAATTCTTTCTGAAGTGTTTCGCGAATTTTCCCCATGCATTTCGCCATGCACCATCCGCATTCCTCTACGTTAGCTACGTTTGAATCAATCTCTGTAAAAATGAAGTCATCTACTGCCTTTTATACTGCGCAAATTCTAACATTACCCTTGCGGTATTCAAATGTCAGTTGTAGTTGTGCTTACTGATCCTACGGTTTATGGAGCCTTTCAGTGCTCGACAAGAGACCAGTATTAGTAGGAAGGAGTCTCATTTCCACCAACATGAGCGTGTCTTCGTGCGTCGTCCAGGTATTCCAGTCTATCCCCTGGTCATGGTCATTGTCTTCACTGAACAGATACAGGCCGTTCAGGTTGGAATGATGGCAGCTCCTGTACCACCAGGCTCCCCGGCAGATCGTCGCACAGTTGCCGCTCCTGGCATCGTTGTCCCTGTCCCAGGTGCTGAAGGGCTGGCCCCGGTGGTAGGACAGCGAGTCGCCCGCCGTGCCGGTATACTTCCCCAGCCTCAGGCGGTACAGTCCCGCTTCGTCCTCTATGGCGACCCGGTCGAAGTCGGCGTACCGGGATTCCCCGTCCCAGTTCTCCATGTACACGCGCAGCTTGTACCTGCCCTGGCTGGTCAGCAGGTGAAGCCGGTCGTTTCCCAGCCAGAAATCTCCCAGTGGAGAGCCGAAGCCACGCTTGTACTCCTGCCAGGTCCTGTAGAAGTCGGTGGTGTTGTCTTTCCTCCTCTGTGCGACAGTCCAGCCCTCGCCTTTGTCTATCCGACAGTAGACGTAGAAGGGTTCCGCCAACATGCGGCGGTGCTTGGAGGAGTAGCGGTAGTTGAGAGGTTGGATGGTGTAGACGCCGCTTTCCGTGTGGCCCATGTCGACCACGCCCTGACAGTCTGGAACACGCATTGTTGTACATTTGGTTATATAACTGCTATATCAACGCCTTTTAAAACTTTATGAGCTTTTGCTATTTATATCTTGTCTCTCTGTCGCAATTAAGGCAGCTTTGATTGTAAGTGTATAAAGATTCAACGGACAGAAAACGATAGATATCCGCTATTGAGATTTGCTGAAAAGCCTCGTTGAAAAAAGTACAAAGGCCGCAATTTGAAGTTGTTTCGGATCTATTTGAAAGCACTTAACCGGGCTCAACATACCTTTTGGATACACAATTGCACTGTCCTCTGCTTCGGCGAGGTTTTCCGCTATTTGCTCCTTCGTCCTTTGGTCAAACAATTCCTGAATAGAAAATGACACATCTTGAAGCCCTTGCTCAAGTTTGTTCAGCCGAGTGGTGATCAGGAGAAGCTGTTCCGACATTGTTTCCAAAAGGTAGTCCCTTCTTGGGATGACGTTTTCTTTTTCCTCCATCTTCTCAAAAGCCTCTTCCACGCGTGAGACCACGACGTGCTGTTGCGTCTTGAGGTGGTGGAAGTAGTTGGTGACGGTGCCTCTCCAGGACAGTAGGGCGTCCATGCCTTTGCGTATGTGTTTGATGTCCAGACCTAGCGAGGCGTTCTTGAGTGGGTATTTGGCATGGTTTATCACCTCATCATCTGACGCCAGTAAGGACCGTTGTTGACGTCTGTGACCGACGTCTTCAGTAGCCGTCAGTAGTCCAAGGAGGACGCTGGCGACACAGACGAGAAGAAGAAGACGCACAGAGGTCATCATCTTGAGTTGGAAGAGACGAGCCGGAAAGTGAAGTCTGCCAGAGATTCAAACCACTTCTTAAACTACTTTGGCGATTGATCAAGTACTTCTGATGGCACTTTTTGGCTCCGAATATGACATTCCACAGGCACATTGATACTTTCGTGAACCACTTGCAGTGTAGGGAGACTGTAGGAGGAAAGAGTCATAGACCACAATAATGGAAAGCAGAGGGTTATGCATGCTGACTGTGTTTCTGTCGAAAGGCCATAGCCATGATGTATTGGTACATGTACATGTTGGACAGGCTTTGGGGCCTTGGCTAGAAGGAAGGAAGGAGATTTTTAGTATTAAAGATTTGCAACTTACAATCATCAACATCGGTTGAAGTATACGGAGGGAAAATTTTCACTTGAATTTTCACTCTCAAATCAAGTGTCTTATTTGACAATAGTTAGGTTACTCGATCGCGAGGCAATGGGACGAAGTTGATAACGTTGAAACAAAAAGCACAGCTGAACAGCAGAAGCAAACCTCGCACATCTCATGGAAGAATTCTGATTTCGTTACTCTCACTCATTTCTGTACTTGATAAGAGCCAACTGAGCCATTGTATTTGGTCCAATTAGACCAATCCTCAAGACGGCGCCGTCAGAATCTGTTTCCGCTAACGAAAACACAACTTCAGAGCGTACGGTAATATACTAGTAATAAAGATCCTGACTCGGTTGCCTACATATTCTTGACGCACTGGTATCGTGGTGTGTTGTTCCGTGAGATTTCTTTGCCATATCGGTTTTAAGCATTGCAGCTATGTCGAGGAAATGCCATAAATGTCAGCCTTCGCTATTGCGGGAAAGACCCTTCGGCCTACATATGTACCCCCCCCCCCCCACGGACACACCCCACGCAATTTGTTCGACTGATTTCACTTTGATACGTAACGTTATTTCTCGCACAGTACAATATTTTGTTACATCATTTGAAAGAAAAAAGAGCTTTCTTTGCTGGAAGCCAGGAATAACAAAGTTAATATTGCAAGTATGAAGATTCTCGTCACAAACCTAGCTATAACTATATTGTAAAGTATGTTTCAAGCTGCCAAGAGACAACGCGTCTGTTATTGACTTGATAACGCCTATAGGAGTCAAGATGGAGACCAAGTTACTCCTGGCCGTTTGGCTGCTCCTGCACACGGCGTACTGTCTACCGAAGGACTGTGGGGACTGCGACTCTGACGCCTGTCCTGAGCTCGACTGCCCGTCCAACATGACGGCCAAAGACGCTTGTTCCTGCTGCGACGTCTGTCTGAGGGAAGAGGACGAAGTGTGTGGAGGAAAGCACTGGTCGGAAGGCCGCTGTGTGGAAGGTTACTACTGCACTGGTGAGATCACAAACTTTTCTCGACGGAACAAACTTGATACTATGGAACACCGTCGTTTACGTGCGATTTTTGATAAGATAAAGTCATTGGAAGTAAGCTTTGCTACATTATATTGATGAAATTGTAAAACGTAGCATTTGTGAAGCTAATAAAGTGCTGAACTTGTCAACTTCGCACTGTGCCTGTTTTCAATTAACGAATGGTCAAGTTTGTTTTTATACTTGAGGGCTATCCCTTATTATGCACACCCAAATTTAGCCATTCAGTGGCACTTCTATCGAAATTAAATGCAACTGAACATATAATGTTTCATTTTTCTAAGGGCTTCAACTTTTGATATCAGTTTATCAAACAACTGAACAAGTTAGCTTTTTCTTCACAAAGACATGTCTACTCCCTTTGCATGCTAGCAATACAGTCGTCTGAGGAGTGAGATATGTACACTGTTTCGACGGTCATGACTTCAAGGAACTAATAGCGCACACCCAATGTTGATTTTACACACCTCATATCCATAAACATGTATATGTACGATAGGAAAAGCTTTGACCAATTGACTAGAACTAAACACTCCATCTCTATCGTTTGTCATCATTTGTTGTCTCATGTAACCCGAATCACAGAGGTTTGAAATCTTCCATTTCTTGTTGGTGTTGAAACAGCCGACCCCGACAATGATGAAGATGAGCCCGGGCGGTGTAACTGCATGTACCCGTACCGGGTGTGTGGGTCTGACGGGAAGGACTATGTCACCTACTGCCAGCTCAGGTTCAGCTCCTGGCGAAACAAGAAGATGGGCGGAGACAAGATCCACCGGGTGCACAAGGGATTCTGCAAGTTCGGTCAGTACATTTTTTGCACCGATTCAAAGAGTAATCATTTCGGTTAGAGTAGAAATACTAATCGTGGCCGTGGCTGGCAAACCTGGCCTTGTGCGGTTACGATTTTTTCAACCGGAAGTTCCGTTTGGAGATGACAGAAATACCAGATACTAGTATGCCGTGCCATGGCCCAATGTACGCGTATGGCGTATCATGCGCATGTTATAACTAATGTGCCTTGTAAGCACTTCATATACACTTGAGTTTGCGGAATCATGGTATAGGGGGATTTTACACTTTACACTTTCCAGTAGTGGGTTGAAGTTATACTCTGGTTATACGCTATTTTCTGAGAAAACACTGATAGAGGCAACGGCGGTCAGAAGATTTATCATGGAGTCGAGTCAGGTTTGTCTGTGTGGAGCTGACGAGAAACACTGAGGCTGACGTTCGCCCTCGAACCTTGACTTATCCGTGACTGGTATTCACATGGCCTTAAGTAGCTCCAGCTGTCCCTCACCGAGTACTTCAACTTTAATCCGACCTGAACACTAAAATAAACATGTCATTCCACCGGCTTGTCAATCACGCTGGGGCGTGCGCCATTTTAAGTTAATTCGTTCGTTCGTTTCGGGTTTGGTAGCCAGGTAGAATTTTCCATTTATCTCATCGATGGTCGGTTTTTGAACCAGATCTTCTCTTTATCTGACCAAAATATCCTTGGGCAGTGGAGAATCAGGTGAGCTACTTGGATGATGGCCAATATGTCAGATTTCTAATCAGTCTGAGTACAGCCTGCCCGCTGTGTGTCTATTTGGGCATGTGCCAAGGACTATCGGGCATACGGACTTCCTGACTTTCAGACAGATGAGGGATGACGGATGGCTCTGATAACCGGTTGAACGACATCTGTACCAGCTATTCCACAAAGAAAACAAACCTGCCATGATATATGAAATGTTGAAATACTGACTTTCAGCACGTCTAGGTACTTTTAATAAATGAATTTTCGTCATGACACATTAATGTCGGATTCATTTCTCCCCATCAACCGCCCACCAGCCCCGATCATCTCCATCCCTCCGACGGATGTCCGGAACACCACGGGCAACACGGTGTTCATGAGCTGTGAGGTCAAGTCCAACCCGTCCTCCCAGATCGTCTGGAAGTTTAAGAAAGGTGAGGTCCATCAAGATAGTTGTTTTATCAACTGGACGACCTTTTCGTAGCCATCCTATTCGTCCTCTATGATATTTGGCAGCTGAGAAGCTATCAAAGGGGAGAATCGGAGCTAGATTGAACTGGATAGATATGAGACCAGCCTAACTTTTTTGTGCCATGTGAAGCTCAAGAAATATCATTTATTATCTAAATATTGCGTCAACACGTTGTCCGCCTCAGTTGACAAAGTACAAGTCATAGTCAGAGGTGATGTCCCTGTGGAAACCCTACCTGTATCACCAACCGTTTTCCAAATCCGCTATTACTTCAAAGCGCGTTTCTAGGATCTGACACTTTAAAAGTGGGGGTTTAACTGAACTTAGCATGACTTACATATTTGGAATGTCTTCACTGCGCCACAAAGAAACCCGCATCATTACTCAAATACTTCCACTCAACTTTCTGTTTTGCTTCTAGATGAGGAGGATGAAGGAGTGGACCTCCCGGCCGACTATGACAACATTTTCTGCAGTTTCCGCGGCGGACCGGACACCAACAAGGTGACAGGCTGGGTGCTGGTAAGTAGGGCCACAGCAAAGTGGCACAATCATGTCCACATTCAATTCTATGGACGTTCATATATGGATATATATATATATATATACATATTGCATTGGCATTTGTGTTGGCATTCTCTTGCTTTTTCGCAACATCCATTTATCGCGTGTGGAGCATATGGGACTGTTTCTCCAACAGATTGGAAAAGCACTGATAGGATGAACGATCCAAAAGCCCCGCCCACCTCCGTCAAAACGTAGAAATGCAAGATAGAAACTTAAAAATCCAAATATTTGACGGCACGCAGGCACTCTCATTGGTCGAACTCAGCGGCTGTTTGCTGTTGTGCCATTGGTTAAAGTAAGCTAAGCTACGAGTGATGGACAGTTGGGTTGTGTTGGACTGTCATACAGAAAGACACACACCTGTACTTGGCAACCTGACAGTTCTGTGGGACATTTCTTGTGCTTCAGATTGAAGGCCTACAGAAGACCAATGCTGGCATATACCAGTGTTTCGCTGCCAACGAATTTGGAAATGACACCAGCACGGCCTATTTGGAGGTGCTGGAAGAAGAACTGTGAGGCAGAGACGATCTTCGAAAAGCTGAACATTGTCACGGAGAGACTTGATCAAAAAGGATATATTCGTCGATCTATTGATTTCGTAATTGCTGTTAAGTAGATATTACATTTGTCTTTAACTGGTGTTAGCTTGTGAAAAGGCCCTGGCACATTCTTTGGCTTTTTTACTTCAACATCTCAATCGAAAGGATAATAAGTTAGAATTACAGCTGCTTTATCTGCAAGACGAATACTTAACACTTTGAGAATGATAGCTGGGAGACTAGTGGGAGGTATCAGTAGCCACCTCCTCTCCTCACACAGATAAACCAGTGGATAACATCTTCTTGACTGGATGTCTCTTCATTAGTTTGTCCTATACCAAGTATTCTATCCACTTCCACTTATTACCCGACAGAGAAACATAATATTATCATTTATAACTTTATGGAAAGGATACTAGGGGTGCCAAGTCTTTGAATATTGCTCAACTTAATTCATAGTCGAAAATAATCTTTAATACATGTGAACTGAGATGAATCCTTTGGCCAGTTCTCTGCACATCTACACAAAATGTTTTTCTATGGCATACCAAGGCAACTGTACTACCCTTACCCAACCCCCAACCCCTTCCTGGTGCATTCCTCTCCAGCAAGGAACAATTTATTTTCTCCAATGTTTTTTTTTTTGCGAACTTTCTTGTCTAATATTTCAGTTGCAATATTCCAAGCACAAGACATCAAACAATAAACAAATGGGTTAAAGGTACAAAGGGTACTAAGATAGATTATTTACAGCCAACAATAGGCTTTTTAGTTGAAGTAAAGGAAGCTGTTTGTTGATTTTAGTGATGGACAGTTAGGTTTGGACTGACATACAGAAAGACACACACCTGTACTTAACAACCTGACATTTCTGTGGGACATTTCTTGTGCTTCAGATTGAAGGCTTACAGGCTTCAGATTGAAGGCTTACAGAAGACCAATGCTGGCATATACCAGTGTTCCAGTGTAAAGGAAGCTGTTTGTTGATTTTAGAAGTGTAACCGACACCAGTGATTCATTCCCTCCAGCCTATCAGGGCCATTCTATTCCGAACTTTGGGGAAAGACAGACTGGACTATTGGAAGACGATGCTTCTAGAAATGTACATGTAATTGTATTTCTGGTGAAATTTTCTTTGATTTTTAGATTACATCCCAGTTAGTACTGATTGGACCTAAGCCAAGTTCCAAGAATGCCTCACATATATGCCTCCGACATATGTAAGTTACTTATATTTACACACATAACATCCAAGTCTTAGACACCAGTCATAACACTATCCAACTGAACAAAATCATTGTATTACTTTTTTTCTACAAAGAAAACACCACCATTTACTTTGAAAGTTTCAGTAATGGGCTTGGATATGGTCACATTACAATCCTTTGTTGCTGTGCATTTACGCCCAAATCCTGAAACCCCTATGGTAATAGTGGCACATCCCTAGCATACAGGAATGCCAAGGTGTTTGCTCTTGGATGACAGCATCTCCCTACTGTAAACTGTAAAATTTTCCAAACAGAAAAACTCAAGTAGAAATACAACATTTAATGAAATGACATTACCAAACTAGAAAATATCTGTTCCATAGTAAATCGTCTCCCAGACTGAAAACCTTTCGCCATTGTGTCTTGTTTGATAATTCTGTCACCATTTAACACGGGTAAATGTTTTCCATTCTACGGTAATATAGCCGTCTCCCCAGGCTGGGCCCCCCACACACTAAGCCCTCCTGTCTGAGTCCAGACAGGGTGCAGCTCCTGCGTTCTCTCTGCAGCATCTTGGTATTTAAACTCTAGCAAGGAAAACCTGAGTAAGGCATAGACATGAGGGTCTGGGGAGGCTTGTTGTTGGTACTGGTGACAGTGGTGGTGGTGGAGGGGAGGAAGGCTCTGGGGAAGTGTCCTCCATGTAAGCTGGACCAGTGTCCCGACATCAGGGGCAAGTGTTTGGGGGATGTCCTCAAGGATCCCTGCGACTGCTGTGAGGAGTGCGCCAAGACTGAAGGTACACCTGTAGTTTCCTTCATTGAAATATGGTTGTCACTTTACTGCATTGATTCTCCTAAACCACTGTTAGTTTTAAAGAAAGATGTTGGAGAATAAAATTCATAAAATAACAAAGATTTACGCGTATTCAGTTAATTCTCGTGCATGAAGCTACATGAATATCAGATTTTGATATTGCAGAAAGGAAATACCAACTATATATAACTTTTACACTTGCAGGAGGTTAGAAAAAAATTACATTTTTTCCACTTGAAAGAAAGCTGAGTTTGCACATATTTGAATACAGGTGAAACATGTGGAGGAAAGAGACACAAGCTGGGGACCTGTATGGAGGGCTTGCACTGTGAGACCAAGAGAGGGAGGAAGAAGGGTGTGTGTGTCTGTAACGTGGAAGGAAAGGTCTGTGGTACCGATGGCGTCACCTACAACAGCCTGTGTGAACTGGACCTCAACAAACTGGTGGGCTTCAGGGAAGGGTGGTCACTGGAGAAACGCCATGATGGGCCCTGTTACTCAGGTATGGAACTTTTCTGGGTTTGGTATAAAGGAGGGGGAGGGGTTGTCTGTCATCAGTACATTTTAGTACATACCATAGTTTTCTACAATGGTTTATGTATATGTATTTTCTGGTTTCAAATACAGGTATATGCAAGCCTGAAGTGCCTATATCAAAATGAAACATTAAATTGTTCTTGTGAATGAGAAAATTTCAAGGCAAATGTATGGGATTGGTATAGAACCAGACACACCAATAGACCAGGCACAGTCTAGTGCATATTGCTCGGGGAACTTGGGAAACTCCAGGCCCATTATATCACTAGAAGCATGTGGCAAAATCAATACTTGAAGGCAGATTACCACATTACTGCTAGCGTTATTGGATTATGGTACAAGAGCCTGAACCTGGGGTGAAAGGACCAGTCCCATGTTGTTGGAAAAGCCATTAACCCCATGATGCATTTCACTGAAATTTACTGCAGATGAAAGCATCAATGATGATATGAAACATTAATAAGAGAAAGGTATGGTTCTGTGTATCTTAAAGGGATAACTTCCCAGTAAATCAAGGTGTAGAGGTGCATTTGTAGCACCTTAGATGTAACCTGGAATATCAATAATGTGCAGTATCATGTTATACAAAATTATAGTTAACATAACAAGACTCCAGATATCTGCATAATGCTAGGGTGATAAAGAAAATAGGCAAAAAACTTACTTACTGACATAAAACTCTAGGGCTACTCTCTCCTCTTCCCTATAATCTCTCCTGATCAGTCCCTTGCCTGTGTCTACTGGAATGTTTTAACCAATATTTACACGTCATTCCTTAGGAAATAAGCTAAATGAAGTGTTGGTTGAACTAATCTGCTTTGCTGAGCTTTCAAATATCTGGCACTTTTTTTCCTTTCAGAGGTTTTAAAGATGTACTTGAAAAAGAGCCTCAAAATCTTGTAAGAACGCCATATCTGATCATGCTACTGTGCATTGTTTTCTACAAACCAGTTTTGGAAACCGGTGCATGTGAAGAAAAATATCAGCATTACTTAACAAAATTGGCATGATTCATGTTTTGTTTTGGGCGGTTGAAATTGTCTTTGGTTACACAAGCCTGTAAACATTGCAAGCAGCTGCTATTTAGGTTCGACATACCAAAAAGTCTTTGGGAAATGGAGATGGAAACATGTCTGGCCTGAAAACAATAAACCATTCACTGCATGTTCTGTTGGAAAGTAAGTTTGTACCCAGGAGGTCTTACAGAGGGGCCCCATGGGGGGGG